TATCTATCCTCAGAGAAATTATAATTAAAATTAATAGTAATCATGAAATGTGTCAAATATATACGTCGTGTGGGGAAGGGGACGAGGAAAAAGGATAAAGGAGGGATAGAGGAGAGAAGGTACTAACAATAAGAGATAAAAACGCAAATTCTAGCTTTGGCTAAGAGACTGACATTTCACGTTTTAAGAGCGCGACATCGAAATGCCTCCTCGCACATAATTCGCATGTATCCGCTATCGCGCTCTCCAGTTTCGAAATGTCGGACTAAGTGAAGAGAGAATTGGTACAAAGTCTTAAGAGATAAATGAGCTCGAGAAAAAGCGTATATGGTATTCGCTTTGCGAACGTATGTACGTGTGTATGTGTGTGTGTGTGTGCGCGCGCGACTCGCGTGCTGTGTACGTATGCGAATGTAAATATGTAATGTGCGTATATATGTGTGTATGTATACAATGATCGCGTTCATCGGTGAATGTAACTTTACATAGGATCAAGGTCGTTCGAAGTATCGTCGGCTGATTCCTCAGCCTTTTCTGTGTCTCAAGTATAAAACTAAAGGATGCGGCCGGCGAAGCCTTTTTGTAAAACTATATATTTGTTCTCTCTTTCTCTATCTCTCTCTTTCTCTATTGCGCTCAAGTGTGTGCACGTGTTTGTTAAAAACATTCATTTTTTTTTTTTTTACACTGCAGGCAGGTCGACAGGTTTGACTATTCGTGCGTGTTATACATGAGACACTCCGTAACCGGGCGTTATCCAATGCGAAATACGCGAATGCTTTGACGTGACGTTATCACCGATGATGATAATGATAATGATGATGATAATAATGGCGATGATAATGACGATAACGATGGCGATTAATGCGCGCGTGAGTGTCATTGATGAATTTCTCTTGCATTAATTTAATGATCATCCGTAAACGTCGATGTCGCGGTGGTCCGTTTTTGGAATAGCTATAATAATTATTATAAATATATATATTTATATGTATATTTATATATGTATATAATAGGTCCATGCGTTTTCTTCTCCTTTATGCGCGTGTAATGCAACGTGTATGACAGTGAAGAGCGTGTATACTAGGAATGTACATAGTGTACGTAGAGATATTTAATTAGGTTGTGTATAAAACGATGATACATACTATTTACTCGTTACTCGTTTATATCAAACGACACATAATTATGATATCGATTTTTTTAGTCTCATGGTACGACGTTCCAGGGCACACGGCGCGTCGTTTGCCAATAGGCTAATAGTCTTGTCCTGTCTTCTCGCACAATATGATCGCGCGGTCACGCATCCACGCTGACTCGCACTCTCTCTTTCGCCCCTTTCACGACAAAAAAAAAAACGATCGCGTGGTTATGATACAAGAATCTCTTCCAAATGAATGGTCATCAGTTGAGCATACAATTTGGCATAACGCGTGTTTCTTAAAATTGCACGCTATATCTTGGATTCGAGTTGTATTTAAATGAAAATTTGTAAATGTTTCAGATCAATATATATATATA